ATGTGCCATTTGCTGTTGATACAATTAATACTCCTAGATGTTGTAGTTTGTCAGAAAACAAATAAAAATATACTGTAAATATTTCCAATAAATGTGCTGTTGTATGGAGTTCAAATACTACATGCTTTTTAGAATACATATATATCTTTAAAACGTGTAGTGTTTTTTTATGAAACATTTTATTGCACAACACTTATAATGTTTTTGGATGATCCTGTATCATTTACAATAATAATAATAATCATAATAATAGTGTTAATTTTAATAAATATAAGTCATGGGGATAGGATTTTGTTACAATCCAACAAAGTAATAACCAGACGATAAAAAATCTTTAGTTGTCGTTCTTGGATTTCATGGTTTGCTTTTAATTGTTATTTTCTATTCAATTATAATTTACTAAATGTCATTCATGTTTTCAATATGTTCATCTTCATCAAACATGCAATAGTATCATAATCACTATCCTTGCTTTTTTGCAATGAAATTACTTCTATTTGTATTATGACTGCAATAATAAGTATTATCAGACATTCATCACCAAAAAGTTCAATTATCACATGAAAAACTAAACACAATGAAAAAACTAAATAAGATTGTATCTTGTTGTTTGGATATTATCTTATCATATCACATTTGTAGATCCTAAAATCCACAAAAAAATGAATATTTGATACTAGATTGCTGCTTTAGTAATTTTTCAATTAAATACTCACTTTTATATTAAATGTTCAAATAAAATTTCTGCAATTTTTTGATTTTCTTAAGGTTCAACGATTCCTTTTATGTCTCAACGATTTTCTAAATGGCTCAATGATTCCTTCTATGCTTAAATGCATTGAATTGAACAATCATAAATGCCTTTTCAAAGATAAAGGCACATACAAAAGAAACTGATGAAAACATTTGTTTCATATGGATGTCTTCAGCAAACATTACAACAACTTGCAATGCAAAAATTAGGACGAAAATCACTAACATTGTTAATTTGATAGTTGTAAATTTTTATTAATGATCCTTACAATTTGAAATTGTGTATCTATAATAGTTATAGTACTAATGAGGAATTAATTATGTACATTTTTTTCCTCCTTTCAATAATCACATTTCAAAACACAAAAGAATTCCAAAAACCAAATCAAGTCTATCAAAATGGCAAATAAATTTTAAAGTCATAGTTGTTCTTCATTGAAAGTTTTCATGTGCCACATGTAATTTTGACTTATAAATTACATCCAAGTTAGTTAAGATATTAATTTAGAAATTTCATAGTATTATTTCAAGTCTAGGCGTGATAATTGTGTAAAAACTCGACATGTATTTACAAACATGACAGTTATAACAAATGTCCTTATAAACAACAAATGAATGAAAATGGATGAAATTAGGGTGTATATACCATACCAATCTTATTTAGCTTTGATTCTTGAAATTTCATTTAACCTATAAAGATACAATATAAAAGTTGGTATTAAGTAATAATCGTTTGTTTTCTCTTTTATTTTTATTTTTTTGTATCTAACAGCAAATATTTGATTATGTTATACGTGTATTGAAAAATCATGTTGGGTGTTTTTTTATGAAACGTTTTTTTTTTTTTTTTTTTTTTTTTTTTTCTTTTGCAGAAATTGAATGAAACAATAAACTACCTTGTTTGTCAGTCCTATTTTTGAACGATCCACAAAACGTCTTTTGCTATGACACATACAATTGAAGAATTTGAAAAATTTGAAGTATCATTACATGATAAGATGGCAAGCTGCTTATTTAATAATAAAACCATCTTTTTAATGGGCGCTAATCTTGAAGTATAAACACTGAAACTACAAAAAGCACATGTAAATATTTTAAAAAGTAACTTGCAAAAAAAACCATTAAAATATACACGTGTAAGCTTTGAAAAACTAGTCTATTGCTATATATATATATATATATATATATATGTCAATACTTACTTGCTCTTCGATTTTTCTCCTTTTACATAGTTAAAATGAAATAAAAATAAAAAAACTAAAATAGATACATACATGAATGTTTTCTTACATACATCAAAGCACAAGAATACAATATTTTTATTTTCCCTCGATGCTCACAATTAATTAATAAAAAAAATTACGAACTGAAGATTGAAAATGACAACTTTTTAGGGCCATGGACTTGATGGGGCATAGCTCCAGCTTCTCGACCAATGGGAGAGGTGGGTTGTGGGCACTTTGAATCCAGCATTCCACTCACGAATGTATTCATTCATCCTTGTATAAATATTTCATCCGCCCACCCATTCACTAACTTCGTTTTCCACGTCGAGCATGAAAAAAGAAGAGCAGCCAAAGGCAAGCAAAGTTGCGCTTGTGAAGCATCGGGTGAGACAGGACACCCCATCTGAAAAGAGGTGATGCATTGGGGAGGGGGAATGGATGCACGAAATGTGTAATTAATTTCATTCATCCAAAAGTCACCAAACTCGTCGCCCTCCATGCCCCCCTGCCCGCCTGCCCGACCGAGGTGCCCACGGATGGGGGCAGCCCGTCGGTGAGCTGCGGGTGGTGTCACGAGTCGATGAAATTAGAGCCTAAGTGAAGCAGTAGTAATGACCAGACAGGCAGCTTCTATCAAAAACTGTACCCAAGAAAGGAGTCGGATCTTAACAGGCCTAATGTTAGATTTCCTTGAAGACGACCTCTTATTTTATATTAATTAGGATATATAAAACAAAGAAAATGTCCCTCAACTCTTAGACCTAATCTCCATAATCCCAACTTCCCACACACTAGACGTGGTTTTAATGTAGAACACCTCATCTGGAAGTTACTGAGTCGATAATTATTGAAATTTAACCCACGGTGGAATTCATTACCCTGAATCCTCCATTTGTTATTGGTTCTTGATGTCGCCCGGTCTCGATCTGTAGCCGAAGTTTGAGGGGTAGCGTGGAATTGTAGCCCGAGAGGGCTTCGAACCGCTGTCTACAGTTGAAGACTTACGTCGATTAGTTACGTTTAAAGATGAATTGCGGTTTTACAAAGCTCGCTGGCCGGGCGTCCTGCGTCGCTGATCGTTCAGGAGGTGCATTCATCGACAGGACATCCCCGGTACGAGGGTACTGAGTGTACTGTCTCGAGGGTAAGAAACATCCCACCAGCCATAATACTGGGGAGTGCATTCACTCCCTTCATTCATTAGGCTGTGGTTGCCTTCCACCCACAAATCCTTTTTAAAAAAGCCAGCGTAAAAGTAGAAGGGAGAATGTTGGGCTTTGAAGTACTCCCTTTCACTCTTTTGCAGCGCCTGATGTGAAGAGTGTGTACTCCCCAGTCTCTTGAATTGACCTATTTCGGAACGAAACGAGCTTTGTCTGTCACTCCCTCTCAATTATCTACCTGATATTTCGATTGTGCGGTGATACGTATTCTGTTTCGCTTTGAAGACTCCACGCATTTCTTCGTTTCTGTTTAAAATTAACCTCTTGAGAGAATACTATTCATATTTAAATTACTAGATGAGAACTGGATAAGGTGATTTTTTGAGTGTGTATGTGTATGTGTATGTGTGTGTTTTCACGAGGCATCAATTTTGTTCAGTTGCTGGAAGATATTCTCTTTCGACAGCCACCGTTCACCGCTGGAGTCACAAGCAAATCAGTTTTTTTTTGGGTGCTCTTTTCATTTTCTTGTGAATGATTTCAATGCATATATTTGAGAGCATTCATGAAAAAAATTACAAGTAGAACTATAAAAAAAATGTTGCTTGTTGATTTTTGATGTGTCAACTCTTCATATGGTCTCATTTGTGCAAGCAATTATCCAATGCAATGTTTTTGTTTTGTTTTGTTTTTTCCTTCCATCAATGAACTCAATTCAGTTCCACCCTTCACGGTCAATCTTCACACTGTCGTGTATGTTCATTCCCCAATGACCCATCCCAGTAGGGCGGGTAAAATGGGTTCTTGTTCATTCAAGGACATGAAGGAAAAAATAAAAAATAAAAAACTACACATGGAGAACGAGTCTAAGCAAACGACACGTGCATCCAGGGTTAAATTTTGCACGACGTGGAGTGAGAATATGCTCCATGTTTGGAGGAGGGAGAAGGGGGAATCTATTAATTTATTTAATGGGGATGCCACGTCAGACTTCAGAGGCAGCGCCCGAGTGAGCAGCAGGGCCATCATCCTCGTTATCTTGCCCGACTCAAAAACCGAGCCATTTGGTTAATTAACCGTGAAAAGGAGAGTTAAGGGCTCATGATGGGCAGCCCCAACTCTCAACACATTTATGACCAGCGGAAAAGGACCACAAAGACGGGGGGTTCTTCATTACCACCCCATAGTTATGTGGATGGACCCCGTTCAACGTTATTGTAAGGTGAAATGCTACCTAGTATTAACTGAAAAGATTCTCTATTCTGAAGCCACCCTGATTACCTTTTTCTACACCCACTTTCTCAATAGACCACCCCATAAAAACTACATATTCAATTTAGGATTTTCAGCTCAAGTTCGAACTCCAGAGGGCTGTCTCACTCATGCGCAGGAATCACGGTTGTATTAGGAAGCTTTCATGATGCTAAAGTAGTTCAACACAAATGGGCGGGTATGGGAGAGGGAGTGGGAATAGGGGGAGGACCGTGGGGATGGGGGAAGAGGGTCCTTCATCCCTAAGAAGAAACCATCAAGTGGGGGTGAAGTGACCCTGAAAGGGAGTGCCATCGGATTTTATTACGAGAGTCCACATGGTAGTATAGACCACAATAAAGAGGGGACACAGGGAGCAGTCCATGGGTTGAGAACCGGACCCGGCGGTGAGGGGGCACACACTCCAACCGCTGGGCCCTGTTTGAACCAACCCTCTCACGCCGGAAACGAAAAATCGTCCTCGTGCCGTGCGTCCGTCCGTTAATACGCCCCGTTATCCGTCGCCACAGTGCCGTTTCGCGCGTTCTCCCGTCGCGTTCCCCTCCCATCGTCTCTCCCCCCTTGAATCAAGAGGCCGCTTCCTGACTCCGGCGTGGGTCAGTATTACTCTCCCGTGGAGGCACCACTCAGCCGGTGAGTTTGCTTTTGCTGCTGTTGTTGAGCGTTGTGGCAAAGCCTCGGCTATGGCGTTCGGCCCCGCCCGGCTGTGATGCTCTCTGCTGCGGTCGTGCTCCGACGGCAGTTACCGGGGCCGGGGGCTGGCTCGCGGCGTCGTGGATTTGGGCGCTTAGCGTTCTTAGCGGGTTTTTGGGTTTTGTCGGGGCCAGCGTTTGGGCGCGGAGGAGTGAGATTGAATGAGAGAGAGGGAGTGTGTCTGCATAAACCACGACGTTGTCTGCTCCACTTCTCCTAGTTCTGTCTGCTTCTCTCTCTACCCGTGAGTGGCTCGATTGCATTTCGTTTGACTTCCGTGGTCGTGGTGGAGGTCTAGCGCGGAGTTGACTATTTGGTGTTGTCGGTTGTCGATGGCTGATGACCATGTAGGCTGGTCCAGTGTAGTGTATGATATTCATTTTTTTTTTTTTTTTTTTTTTTTTTTTTTTTTAATGTGTGAAATTTTAGGGTGAAGGCTTGTGCTGTGGTTGTGGTATATAGCATCCTGGTGGGGCAATTGAGATTGTTTGGTAGCCTTTTCCGGTGCTGAGGTCTGAGGAAGAGGGTATGCAGGTTCTACAGCAGTCTTTGGATAAATTCTCAGCTTCTGGACAGTAGCTGTAGTTGAGCTGGTAGAAGTGCTGGATTTAATTGTGCTGTGTTAATGCACAAGTTGTCTGAGCTCTGAGTCGTGTCAGCTGAAGCTTCAAGAGGATATCACGTCTTTACACGTTCTTGAGTATGCACACGATCACCTGCTTCAGGATAAGTAGTGACTTGGGAGACGTTGGGGATGTCCTTACCCTTAACATATCTGTGTAATGGTTGAATGGTGGCTGTTCATTCAACTTGTTGTCACTGTTTTTCACAAGAAGAACTGAAGTTAGGTTCTTCGCAAAGAAGTCGGTGTCTTGTAGAGTGACACGCTATAACTGCATGTGTGTAGTTTGGTCTGGCAAGTAGGTAGGGCATGAAGGCATGCCTGTCAGGCACAGGACGAGTACAGTACCTGCTGCTGGCGTGCTGCCTTTTTCACCTCGTTCCTCTTTCGCATTGCGGTAAGTTCCAGGCCTCGTGGTTGAGCCTTCCTCTATTGACTCTTCCAGGTGACCGTTGCCATTATTGATGGGTTCTAAGTTTTTTTCTGCTTGCAGTAGCTCAAACCAGCTGGCGTGATAGTTGCTATTTGATGATTACGTCGAGGGCTGGTTATCTTGTGGACTTGGTTTGTTGAGATGATGCGTTTAATGCACCTCTTGATTGTCTCATCACACATCTGCCTGTTTTTCTGAATCATTTGCGATGGTCTTTCTGACAGGAACTTGTCCCTCAGGGTGGCAGAAAGGATACAATGAGGATGTTTGTCTTTCTTTGATGATCAATCTTAGTACATGGTCAGATTCAGAGACTGCTTGCAAAGCTAAAGGAGGTCATCTTGCGTCATTGAATACGCTGGACGAGTTTTATTTTGTTCAGGCGATTTGTGGTGCCGGGGCTCTGGATGGGTGTTGGGTTGGGGGCCAAGAGGTGAACCACTGTTTTGCCTCTGTTACCTTATGGTTTGTGTGAAGTATTGTTGTGTGGTGCTTAGATTCTACGAATGGGTTGCTCGTGACCAGTGATGGAGAAATGTGCATTTAACCCATTCTTCATGCTCAAATGACAATTGCATTATCTGGTTGCTGCGTTTAGTACCTGATCTTACGCTCAGGTCAGCTGGGTTTGCTCAGTAATACGCTGTGGAGGGATGTCCTAACTATGACCGGAAATCTGGATCAGCAGATTCTTCAGGCTGAAAATGGCGTCAGACAGTGGAAATGGAGCTACTGTGAAACCACTCACGATATTGATTTACTCTGGGTACCGCCACTACCAAATGGAAGTTGCACAGGCACGACCTGTTCTAATCCAGCATCACCCCTTTTGTGTACAGTTGTCACAAGGGCGGGGGTTAAGTGGGATTTTTGTTCTTCCTCTCATTCGTTTCTTTGTGCCATTGGACCAGGTCAGTTAATCACTTTTGCCACCCACCTTGTTAGCTTGGACTGGTCTAGTTTCTATGGCTATGTCTTTCAATGTCACTAGTGCTTTTAGACATTCTGCTGTGCGCAGTTAGTAAACTTCATTCGATGTATGGTTGATATCCTATTACGATTCTTTTGAGACGCTTCTAAACTGCATTATTGTTCTTTCTTCTCAGAGTCAGAATGCACGTCTCCCAATCAATCTCACAGGGAGTATCCTATCATTCTGATCTCAGTATGCACAATTCTTGCCGTTACCACAACAGCTATTGTGGCTTTTCTTTTGGCGTACAGACGCAGCAAAAGGCGGCGGAGGTCTCGTCGTTGCAAGCTTGCAGAACTATCTAGTGCGAGCGGGCTACTGCAACCCGCATTTAGGTTGTACACAATCAGAGAGTTAGAGGCAATGACAGGAAACTTTTCTGAAGCAAATTTGCTCGGTAGTAGTCAGGATGCGAACAGGGGAACTTACAGGGGTGTGCTTTCAGACGGCACCTTGGTTGCAGTCAAGAGGTTTCAACGGACACCACTTCAATCGCAGAAGGAATTTGTGTATGATGTGCTGCGTATAGCCCGGCTGAAACAGCCCAATTTGGTGGCCGTTAGAGGCTGTGCATATGAGAATCGTCAAGGTTATATTGTGTATGAGTACCTGCCAAATGGGTCTCTCGACCAACGGTTACATTACAGATCTCCGGTAGTTCCAGCGCTGGACTGGGATCAGCGAATGCGTATTGCCACAACCCTTGCTCAGGGCCTTGCGTAAGTTGTTTCCTCCTCTGTCTCTCTGACTTTACGTACTCTGGAATTGAAAACAACAGAAGTATTGCACTTACAGACGTTCTAACTTACAGCATGTGTGGCATTGCAGATATCTACATGACATACTTAAGCCACATGTGGTCCACAGGGATGTGCGAGCTAGCAATGTACTTCTGGACGAACATTTTGATGCTCACATTCTGGGGGTGGGTCTGAGCAGGCTGGTATTGCGTGAGGCAACTGTAGGTCGCACAGTGATTGCCGGGACGTATGGCTATCTGGCCCCCGAATTCGTGTACAGAAATGAACTCACTACTAGGAGTGATGTGTACAGCTATGGAGTCTTACTGCTGGAGCTCATCACAGGGCGCAAACCAACAGTGGATGGAGCGGAGCCCTCCGAGTGGCAAAGCACATTCGAGTGGGCCACTCCACTTGTCCAAGCCCAGCGATTTCTCGAGCTTTTGGATCCAACCATCCAGACTATTCCCGATATAGCTCAAATTCAGTGTTGTGTGGACTTGGTTTACGCTTGCACTCAGCATGTCCCTGCAAGTCGGCCACGCATGTCGTATGTCGTGCACCAGCTAATGCAGCTGAGACAAGGGCTTGTGCCTCTCCTACTGAACCGTGCACAGAATCCAACACCTCGACCTCTAGTAAATAGCTCTGAGCACATTAACGTCGCCAATCTTGGCGATAATACATCCTCTGTTGAAATTGAAATTACAGAGGTCCTTTCATAGATACTTGCTTTCTGTATATCCTCAATGTGCCTACCGTGTATCAGCACTATGCTTGTGTATATTTTGTGATGCTGTACATAATTTCCCCTTGTCCGGAATAACTCGTTACTGTCTTTCACATCGTTAGGACTCGATATACTGTTTGTTCTAAAATGCTTTCAGTGTACTAGTGGCTGTTATACCCATTCAACTCGATATCAAGACGAGGAAAATCTGTGCACCTGATAATCAAAGGAAAAGTAGCCCGTCCTCTTCATTTGTACATACAATCGAATCGTTTCATATTTCAACATTCACAGGTCTTAAACTTTACCAACAGAAAGAGTTTAATACCGGAGGTCAATTCTAGTCTATGTACATTTCGGTCGATTATACCTTGGTTGAAGAAGATGAATTTACTGCATCACTCCCTTCCTGGTGGGATTATTTAAAGACTGTTACTGGATAATGTACGAATAGTACATGGTATGGGAATGCTTGTAAATCTGAAGCCCTTGATAGGCTGGCTGAGCATAATTAAACAATGACCCCACAAGTTGTGAATTTGACCCATCCATCATGAGAATCATGGATTAATAAATTATTACTTGAATATACCAGTACTCAAATGTATCTGGAATTGAAAAATACATTGTTAAGATGCAATGTGGCATTATAAACATCATTAGAAGAGTAATTGGATTATTCATGGGCACTTATCCATGGATGTTTTATTAAGGATGTTTTTATCAATGCCTTCTGCAATATTCGCCACAGCATTGTTGGCAATAGCAACAATCCAATATTTGAATCTTCTATTTGAGTTGTAGCAAAATTGCCAAGTTCATCCAATGTAGCATCAAGACATGCAAATTTGAAAAGGAGAAAAAAATTGTGGTACTAAAAACAAGCTTTTTAAACCACAATAAAGACAATGACAAGAGTTTGTATATTTCAGATGCATTGTAATTTCCCAATAGAAACCTTGGATAGATGAATCACACAAGAAACCAATAGATGATGTATTAACTTATAATTTTACCATGTTGCATTATCTTCATACTTGTCTCTGCTTTTAGACCATAGTATTGTGCAACATGACCATTTTCTTGCATCTAAGGGAGTTTCAAAAATAATCCAATACTTTTTTTAGATTCAAGAGAAATAAAAAGAACTAAATATTGCATACCATACAATGTATTACAATTTAAATGAGACAATGGTACCTTCCAAAGACTTCAAACATGGCTATGTAAAGACAACTAAATGGTGATTTTTTTTGCATTAGATCTTGTAAGCAAGGAAAAGAATGAAAGTGAGTATGTACTTGAGTTTCCTTCACTAAAAAACACTCTAATAAAGTCTTCTTCTATTTGCAAGCCAATACCTCATGTTTACTCAACTAACTAGCTTTCCACTATCAATTGCTTTGAACTTGCAATTCTCCTCTTCAATCTCTTACATAAAGCCCTAAATTCACATGATTATCATTATTACTAAGCCTTGTTGCAAAATTGGTTGCAAAAGCTGCTAATAATCAAATTTTTAGAGGCAATGATGCTATTGTGAATACTTCCAAATTAAATCAAGTTTTTTAAATTAGTGTTGAACAAAGAGCACATAACATTAGTCGAATATTGTAAATCAAAATTACATACAAAGTTTAGAGTGAATTTGAATGGCGCTATATCATTGAATCAAATATTGGTGCCTATGACTCAGCTAAAGTGACTTAATTAAGATATCTCCAACTTAGCTAATATCATTGATATCTATGACTCAATCTAATTGAGCTCTCTTTGATGTTCACTTATCAACCAATATCCATAATGTTCACAATTTAGTCAATTCAACAAGACTTAAAGGTTTGAAGTTTAGATGGATGAGAAGATGGAATGGTAGGAGATTGGTGGTTCTAATCTTCTTTTTGTTTTTCTAGCCCTTTTCATCCTAAATCTTAATTTTAAGAATGAAAAAAAGCAGAAGAACCATTTTTAATATCTTCAAGTGGATATGGTGCAATTGACGTAGGAAGTAAGATTTTGATATCCTCTCTAAGACTCTAGATGCTGCTCTTGCTATCTATTATGCAATTCTAACTATCTCTTGCTATCTATTATCAATTGACTTGGATTCACAATCTTCAAAACTTTAATGGCCAAATAGTGGTAAAACCTTGGTCTTGAGTATTACAATGGTAGGTGACATAATTCAATGTTAGTATAGTGAACATGTTTAAAGATGGAATTTAATAATGTGCCTAAGCGAAAAGGTCTATGCCAACTCAGCAAAATTGAAACATTATCTTTTGCATAGATGCATGGAATAATGTTGCATAAGATCCTGCTAATAAAAAAATATGTTTGGATTAGCCAAGTCGAATTTTTGTGAGCACATGCACTTGTGTGGGTGGAATCAAGTATGGACATGTGTTGTGTAGTCTATATGATGCTCTAAGTAAAAACAACCCTTTTCTATGTAACAAATTCATGTGTAAGGATCATATTTGTAAATTTGAAGGATTATATCAATTATTATTATTATTATTATTATTATTATTATTTATAGTTGTTAGATTTATTTTTGTTACTGATATAAAATTATTTCTTGTAAAATACTTATATTATGCACCTCAAGCTATTTAAATTAGATAACTTGTGGGAATTAATCTACAAAATTAAGGTTGAAAATATGAGTGTAGAAGTTATTTTGAAGATTGGAACATTTGAAGAAGTTTTTTCTTTGCTAAGCCAAAGTGAAAAAAAAGACAATAATATATTTTCTATAAGTTATCTTATTGTCTTTTTGTAAATCTACCTATCTAATGTTTTACGTTGAAGAAAGCTTTTGGATGCCAATACTATATGTATATGTTTTATTTTATAGGACTATGTATTGTTTAAAAGAAAGTTCATAATTTTTTTGAAATGATTTTTTTAAAAATACTATGTAGTATATAGCCAACTATTGTAGACAATGTTAGTAGGTATTGTATTGATTTTTTTTGCTTGTTATAAAAAAAAATTGCCACATCTTACAAATAGCAAAACATGTGCAAATGTGGCAAATGTAATTATTGGAGGCATAGTCACGGATATGAAGCAATAGTTACAAATATCAAGCAATGGTTATATATAGCAACAATAGTCAATGATATTAAGCAATCGATAGAGATATTAAATAATTGTCATAGATATTGAATAAAAAAATATCAAGATGAGAGAATTAAGATGGTTTTTTAAGTACAAATTTAAATTATGCGCATTCAAGTACAAATAATATTTATTTTTATAAATAAACATGCTTCCATTAACACAAAAGTACAAAGCAAAGTATATTAGCTTATTAAAATAAAATTCTATTTTAAACTTCTATACAAACTACATAATCAATAGATAACTTCAAAACCAAAATATATTCAAATGAGATTGCAATACTTCTACTATTAATTGAAGTCAATTGGCAATAAATTAAAATTAATTGATAATTAATTTGAGTTGATTGTAAATAAATCAAACTCAATCAGCCATGTAGCAGCAAAAGGTTGTGAAGCTTGAATATTGTGAAAAGAGAAAGAATGGATGTTATGTCTAATGCTTTTGCAATATTGGCAAAGGTACACATTTGTACTAGTGCCTTTGACATGTATAGAGTGTAGATTTGTCTTATTTTTTGAATTATGTACACAACCTTTCAGATAGTTTATTGAATGGTTCTCTAAATCCATAGTCATTGTTCCTAAGTCCAAAAGCTTTATGCATATCTTTTGCTCTTCATATAGTGCAACAAGCTTGCATATCTGACCAACCTCTTGAAAGACAAGATTTCATTTAATAGCAACAACAATTCTCTTTAGAGTGAATTTAGCCATAAAAAGTGGCAAATTCATCAAATAATATTGGCTAAAGAGACCACCAACTATTAAGACTTTTTTTATGATGCAATACCTTCTTAATTCAATGTTAGTAAAGAAGTTTAAGTGTAGTTATAGATGCACCTCAATATGAATTACTATTGATATCTAAGGATGTTATAACAAAGTAATACTACTCAAACACAAGATTGAGAGCGTGCATCAACACCTTCATAAGAACACTCTTGAAAAAAATAATGTTATGATGGTGATGTATATACAAATGCTCAAAGTTGTCTTATATTTTAATTGCTCTATTTGTATTATAAAAAAGAAGACATAGAAAAATTTGCACATTATGGAGATCTTTTGTAGAGACTTTGATGTACAACTTTAAGGCAAAGTGTTGTGCTCTTGCATGCAATGTGGTCACATAGCCATGGTAGAAAGTATTATTTGTCCAAAATTTAACAAATTATTCTTTATAAAAAATCCAAATTTTTTAAAGATATAATATATATATATATATATATATATATATATATATATATTTAAGGAGTGGAAGCAAACATAATACAAGAGTTTATCCATTGTATATCAAATACTTCCTTCAAAGAAGAATTTATTACCTTCGTCTATTTTGTAAGTAAGATAGACCAACCATCAGCTTTTTCAAATAGAAAATATTTCTTACAATTGGCCAATATGGTTTCTTTGAATATATTAAACATAAAGCAAAATCTTGGATGTGGAAAAGAAATCTTCAATAGTATTTATGAGTGCTAAGTCCTTATTAGCCCCAATGCTAACAATCCACAATACTTTGTACATAAAAAAAATTGCATCAATGCCCAATGTAAGAATGGTTGTATTTTTTCTTGGAAATATGCAATCACAATTGTGAAGGATATATTAAAATTTGTGACACCAATAACTTATAATATAACAGTTTTGAATTTTTTTGTTTTGTATATGCAATCTATAATTATATTGTATAGATATTTTTTTGCAAGTTATATACATCTAAAATGAACAACAAATAAATAATTAATCTTATTTTTTCATTATATTTATATATGTGTTGATAGTATATGCAATTATTGTAGATAGTGAATACAACTACTAAACTTGTAGAATTCTATTTCTATGATATAGTGACAAAATTCCTTAGAGCTATTCTTGCAATATGTATTTGAGTAGTTAAATCTTTTTGTAAAAGTTGGAGGCAACAAGCAATTAAATGTCCTACCAGAGATGCAAATGGACCATGATTGTGACTGTTATTT